TCGTGGCGCTGCCAATGGAGGGGCTCGACACTTCCTCGTCTTTTTTTTTTTTTTCCCCGCCCGTGTCGGCTCACGCGCAGGGAGTAACACAAAGGGGGCGAGCCACCCCACCCCCCTTTCTTGTCCCTTCACGTGTGTAGATAATGATTGCCTGTCCATGCATGGGGGAGGGCAACAGAAAAAAAAAAGAGAATTTCACCTCTCCACTTGAGGTGCGTCATATTTTGAAGGACACGGAGACATAGGGGTATATCTCCTCGTCGTTTTCATCGGATCTCTTGATGTAATTCTTTCCAATCGAGTCAGTGGTGGAAAATATATCGTACAACTTCTTGCGCACTTTTTTCTCCTTGCTTTCCCCGTTGATGCGTATGCTGAAGGAGGCAAAGTTCGGGGGCACTCCAAATCGAAGGACCGATTCACAGAACACCCTCAAAATGTTAATATGAATGAAGGCGCTAAAGATATCTGAAAAGGCTGCTAAACACATCCTACGTAGGAAAGTCTCCTGTCGTATGATTTCTGCCTCTACCTTGGTCCTCGATTCCATAACATCGTTGTACTTCTTCTCATCATACTTAAAAGATTTGACAACGAATTTCTTCACCTTTGCTGCTTCTTTAAAGCTCTCGGCAAACTTCCTAAAGACGTATACCTTCCAGAGGGTATTTCCATCTTTGTCCACTAAGCCCTTAAACTGTTCCGTCGATCTGGGGACAACATACTGTGAGAATTTTTCATAGCTAGCTAGCCACTCATCAACAGAGTTTTTTGGGATGTACGCAATTAAGGTCGTCAAATATTCTGTCTCCATAAAATCTGTCTCGTTAACCGTCTGTGGAGTTAAGATCTCATTTAAATTTTTTAAGAAAAAATTGTTCGTATCCGTTTTTGGAATATCCTTTTTTTTCCTTTCTTTTAAATCGCTCAGCATGCTAGATTTTATATGAATTTCGTCAGACAGTTTGGTAATGTTATTCACCATCACGTCGATGGTGTCTGTAAGGGACCTGTTCCGTGGATACTTGGCATCGTCCCAACTGAAGCGCCTTATGTACTGATCGATGTTAATGTGTTGCCGCTGGTATATAATTTTGAGCTCTATGTTCTCGTCATACTCTTTGGCAAGTTTCTCAATTTTTTTTAAACACCCATATGCGTAACTCTCGTACTTTTGCAGGTCATCTGCGCACTTGAGGAGGTCATCGAAAGAGCAGAACTTCAGATTTGTTGGCACGTCCAGGATGTTGGTGTCGATGCACACGTGGCTCCCCAGAAGCCGGTTCTTCAGAATGGTGTAGATATATTCTCGGCTCGTGTTGTCTCTCGTGGAGCACGCGATGAACAGGCACATGGGCGATTCGCTCATCGTGCTGCGGTGTAGGTAAGGCGGTGTAGCTGAAGCGGCGTAAGTAGGTGTAAAACGGGGTAACCCAGTGTAGTCACCAGGGCATGTCACAGAGGGAGAGGGCGCTTATGCTGCGTGCGCGCCTTCCAGTCTAGGCACCCCTCCCTTTCTTCGCGCGCTCACGGTGCTGATGACTTGGTCATCCTATTGGTTCCGCGCACTATTTGGGTAAGGTTACGGGGGGGGTTACTCCAGCAACACCGCTCTGCGGGGTGTGGGGTCCCCTAAGGCCTCTTCGCCGCGACAGAATTTCGCCCCCTTATTATGACTAAACGCTGGGCCACAGGCTTCCTTACATAGACCTACACACGCGGCAACACGTGGCGCCGGAAATCATTTCAGCGGGGGGCGAAGAGAGGCTTCTAGGCCAGTGTCCTACTCAGTGCGCTTTGTATGGAAGCTTCCTGGATGGCTTCCTTTTGGCAATTCAGCCTTTATCTGTTGAGCCTATATCGGATCAGCCTTTATCGACTTCCCCCTTAACGGTCCGCCCTTATCAACTTAGCTCTTATATCCTTCCCTTTCGATGGGTTTTCTTCCCCGCGGGGTGCATACCCAGCCGCGCAAACAGCTCTGCAAGGCGTCGTACATAAGTACCTACCTGCAAAAAGCGCCCTGACGAATATCCTGAGGGGGGGATGTCGGATCGTATCGTTTAAAGCGAACGGGTGGGCCGGGGAAATAGCCTCTTAGCGGGGAGCGAGCATTCGGGAAGATGGCCGAAATGTGGAATGGAGGCTGGAAGGAATGCGAAATGGTGGAAGCATGGGAGGAGGCAAAAGTGAAGAGCCGGACGGATGCAATCACGCATTTACCATTTGCAGTTACGCGCATACGCCATTATGCAAAAAATGCGCTTCCAGTTTTTTTTTTCCCACTCTTTTTTTTGCCTCATTCGTTCCTATTTTTTGGGATTTCGCCTGAACGGGTCAAGCAATTAATTTTTTTTTTTCGTATCCTGGCTGCGTAGGGAAAAAGCAGTAACGTAGAGCGAAGGTGGGAAGGAAAGAAACAAGAAGGGGAGTAAAGAAAAAACGAGTAAAAACAGCGCGGATCGGCGTGTTTGTGGAATTTCTTTTTTCTCGGATGGGGCTGCGTGTTCCCATCGCCCTCGCGTTAACAGTAGCACGTGTTATAGTCGGCGCAGGCGCCTACTTCGTGCATCCCTTCCGATTTTACGTTAATTTCACACATGCAGCGGCAATCACTGGGGGAGAACCCCGTTATCGCCTCTTCTGTGTGAGCGCCAAAAGGGAGTTGATCCACTGGACTCGCACACGAAGGGGATTTACATGTGTATGAATTATGAACATACGAGTCAGTGACTCCTCCTATTGCGCAGGTTTCAGAATTTGACAGAAGTCTGTCCCTGAAGCGAAACACCGACACGTGTCCACAGAAAAAGGTACAATAGGAAGGGGAAGCTTCTCCTCGCCTCTCTTAAAAGGGAAGGCGTTGCGCCTAAGTAGGTTCATACGTATGCACGTGTCTGTGTAACCTCCCAAGATCACATCACAAAAAAAAGAGAAATGGCAGAATGGCAGGATGGAACAATGGCAGAGTGGAAAAATGGCATAATGTCGAAATAAGATATTAAACTACGCCGCCGCGAGAGAACCCCCCTGCAGACGAAACTTCAAATGTGCTGATAGCATGTGAGCATGTCCCTGTACTCCCCTGCGGTGATCGCAAGCGAGCGGGTAGGGTCATCACTCGGAGGAATGGCACCTCTCTTCCCCTCCGTGTTGTACTTGACGAAAAAGTCAAAATCTTCGGGACTGATTTTATCACCCACCAACCCTAAATATGTCCGTAGGACGTCCAGATCAACGGTATTTTTTTTCTGCATATCCAAGACGTTAAAATGTTTGTCGAATGTTTCATCTGCGTCAATTACTTGGAACAACTTCCGCTTCAGTAGAGTCAGAAACATGGGTAAATTCATTTTGTGTATTTTTTTTACGTTCATTTCTTTTTTGAATTTCCACACTTGGGGCGCGTCGTACACTTGCTTCAGTTGCCTGGCCATTTGGGGAAACAACTCGATCTCCACTTCTCCTGACTGGGAAAGGTCGTGAAGGGTGAACAGCAGCTCGGCTTCAGCGAAGTAGTCCACGATTTTTTTTCTACGCGGGGGTGAAAGGGAGGAGAACGTCAACGCGGCAAATTTGTAAAATCGGGCGCACTGCCCCAGGGAAGACTTTTTCTCTCACCTGCTGTAGTCAACCGTGCCAGGGGATTTGCCCTGTTTGTTTTCGCACAACCCCTTCAGTATTTTCCTCACAATTTTCTTTGTGACTTCATTTTGGTAATTAAGTGTGTACTTGTTGTTGTTGTAAAATGCTAAATCCATGGTGCTGCTTTGTAGTCTTTCGCTTATTGCAAAAGAAGGAAAAAAAAAGCAACAAGAAGAAAGAGCAAAAAACAGAGAGGAAAGTCTTCTCGGTGAGTGTCTCCTGCCCAGATGGTCAAATCGCTGTTCCGTTCGATGTCTGAGTTGAAACGGAAGAACAAAATAGGCACAAAATAAAGAAAAAAAAAAAAAATAAAAATAAAAAAAAGAAAAAAAAAAAATAAAAAAGAAAATAAATAAATAAATAAAATTTACTCTCAACGAAGATGCGCAAAGGGATATGCACCGCATGTGCCTCCACCCTAAGGTGACCATATACTTTGATCTTCCCTTTTCGCAGGATGTGTGCACAGAGGGGGTAAGATACCTTTGACTAGTATATGCTCAACACAAAAGTGTTTTCACCGCCGTATATTCCACCGCCCCAGTGCAGCTGTCCATCCGAAGCAGTCGGTTTATCCTTCTCTCTGGAAACGGAAACAATGCACACGTGACTACATTTCAAATGCACACGGTCGCTGAAACAGTCAACACAGTTTTGTGAACAAATTCAGTTCAAGTCAAAATGGACGGTGGGAAGAAGAAAAGAAAAAGAGAAGAAACAGGAATGAAAAGAAAAAGAAAAAAAAAAGAGCACATATATATGTGTATATACATGGATATATATATGTTCCATGCTGAGGTGTAAGAAGCTCAAGAATGCTTAGGCTGTTATCGATTAATAATAGCAATGTATAGAGTCATGTAAATTACCTGTATCTGTTAGGCCAAGATGCTTCTTAAGCCTTTGAAATCGATGCACCCTCCGTTGAGAGACAGGATGTAAATTCTTTTAAAACTTTTGAATGAGCAATGTTGCCTGCTCCTCGTTAATTTACTGTAATTAATCCTATGCAAAATAGAGAACGTCGTTATACTGACGCATACTTGTTATACTCATCTTCCGTTCATAATTCAATCCTGACGATTTTTTTCAATTTCTATGATGTATTCCTTGTAATATATTGTTATTGCCACCACAATTTCTTCACTATGTTTGCGTTGTCCCCTTACATACATATATTGCGCAGAATCATAATAAATTCGTGCATAACTATTATACTCATTGCCGATGCTAAATACATCTTTCTGGATTGATATACCCTTATTGAGTTACACCTTATTCTTTCTTCCCATAAGGGTGTAATAGTCATATTCTTCCCTTTCCCCTCCTGTTAAAATTTTGCTCACACCAATTAATACATTCGGCCAAATTAATCAAGATCCGTAAGTACATTTCTATTAGGGAATAATTCGTATAAGTGCATAAAAGGGACGAGTAAATATCGTTACTGCAACACTTTCTCCTCTAAACATACTATTTTATGTTGAAGGATGCTTAACCTTTCTTATTCACACAAATAGTTAATTCGATTTTGTCAATCCTTTTATTCAATATTAACCTCCTTAATTAATATTAAATGCATGTAGCGACAAAGTCAACGATTCCATTAAGATGGCCATAACATCCTCAGCTCATTTCAAAACTCAATACTCAGGGGGGTATGTTTTCTCAGCAAATATCAAATTAATACGAGTAAGCCCCCTGCCATAATTAAAGATAACTATTCACCTCCTGAGTTAAGTATTAATTGAATAATTAGCAAAAATGTCTTTCACATTTTGTTTCTCACTTGAGCGAATTACGTATTCTGGAAAAACATGGCCTCTTACTTGGGGTTCCACTCCGCCATCATAGTTTCACGCCGCAATGAATACACATTAATGAAGGACGTGTCTAATATTGCAAAATGTCTCAAAAAAAATAAAAGAAAAAAAGGGAACCATAATAATTCCTCCAATGTTCCACTGGTCGAAGACACCTATAGAGATATACACGTCGGATATTTAGACGTAATTCTTCCATATTTCAGAGGCCCCATTGCAGAGAATCACTGTAAGCACATTTTTCGAATGATTCATTCTAATTTCGATATATTGCTCTCCAGAAATTTCGGCAAATATGTATTCATTTATCACTACTTCCAGGCGATTCATCTCTTAGCGTAACGGACTTTTCTTTATACATTGTCTACTTTACCAATTTCTACTTTGTACGTGGATGTTCACAATGACCAAATGGACCTCTCCCCCAAACGAAGGGAGCTGCAAAAAATATACTTCAGAAAATATAAAGATAACAGAGAATTTATATTACATACGCCTAGAGAACCGGATTCTTTATGGTACACCTAATTCTTATTTTAATAGTCTGGAAAGATCAAGCGCCACAATGGCGTATCCGACAACAGCAAAATCTAGCTTATATTCGATGGAAATCCGAAAACTATCCAATCTCCGTATATTGGACAGTACGAGTAGGAAACTAGCGATAAAGAGTATTATTAACAACTTCCCCTGTGTATTATACCTCGTATGTCCATTCTGCAACATAACCAATATCAATGCTTATGAATAATACATTAACTCATAAAATTAATTATTCACTTTTAACTTTATTCACACATCTTCGCAAATGTATGCAACTATAACCTGAATATAAATAACAGGTGTTTTACAGTTATCAGGACATTATTCAAAACGCTCAGTCGTTCCAAATAGTATACACACAAATATGTCATTCTACACCGCAAGCTAATGAATGCGCTGGGCACATATTATACGACATCTACAAAACGAATTAACGAATGAACTGGAGAGGCACCTCGGAGACTCATGGATTTCCTAGCGATCAGTGACCATCTCGATGCTTACTTGCCTTTATTCAAATATTACCATGAATTCGATACATCAAATGAAGAGTATTCCATTTTCTCGTAAAAATACTTTAAAATATTGGTTGTCCGCACACAGAAAAGGAGCAATTGTACCTATTTTCCATTCTGCTGCCCATACAACAACAGATTGGAATGAAATCCTGATTCAGACAAAAATGATTAAAAAGAATCAGTGCCTATCTTAAATTTGATCATGTTCTCATGATCCACAGATTTCATTAATTAAATGCAACTGCAAATATAAAGATCTCAGGGATGCATATATGAGGAAGTTACCTAATCACTGGGCAAATTCATGAATAATTTGGATTCAAATAACTCATAAGAAATAATAATAGAGCTTTGGAAAGTTATTTCAGTCACAGATGATCCTACTGCGTGTACAATGCAGTACGCATGGAAAGGAATTGTTATACTGTTTGAACAGAACTTAGTTGACCTCCCTTTGATCACACAATACAGTGATGTTAGCATTGGTAAATACATTACACAGGAGAGCCCATGGCAACAGTACCATAAACAGTTTTTTTCTTCCATGGTTCTATATACTTTTCATTATTCATACTACTCTTACAATATCCTCAGGAAAATACGGCCTCTTACACGATCACTATTCCATGTACAAACTGCTACACGTTGTCTTCATATGTACACAGTCTCAACCTTGTATAATTTAAAAGAAGAAAGGAAAGCTTCATAAGGCTTAATAGTTTCCCTTAATAATTACTTGAATAACATATCCTGTTTATGGAGTCGAAGCTCTTAGATTTGATTTGTAGACAGATCATGTATTGGCAACATAGTTATGAAGTCTATTCTTGTCGCATCTATATCTTCTTATCGTATATAACTAGTAAATAATTGAAAATTACTATTTCTTCTTATAAATATCTTCCTTCCATTAAGAGGCTCCTTATGGGAGTTATTAATTTCTATTGAAATTTATATGTAAGTATCAGTCTAAGAAGCGATTTGCTCGTTCCTCATTTTTCCCATTGCATTATACTTCCTTCCGTTTGAGTCCAACCACAGTTAACACTATGGGTAGTGGCTCTCCATTTGAGGAAACTTATGAGGTTCCTTTTACTTCTTCAAATTACACACATCGCGTGTTACACTCTTCAAAAAACAACACCCTATTCTAACTAATTCTAACTACAATCCATTGGGTGAACCCGAATCCACTCTATAACTTCATATAAATGGGCTAAATAGGTGGGATTATTCCTTTTTAATCACTCCGAATCTATTCTGGAAATAAAATTCTTATCCTATGACTTAGCATTACGATCTACATGCTTTCAGAGTATCCCGTTCTCTGGTTTCCTTAAATTGACATAGAGCATATCTAAATAGATTCCTTATAGCGTAAGTTAAGAGAAAAGTCCCAAATCCTGTCAAATGGTCTGCCATTTTGAGAATATATCCCGCTCAAAATTAAAATGTACAGATTCTTTATCCTGTGTTCCTTAACGGCTAATTCCTTCATTAATCCTCAAATATATCCCAAAGACATTATTCATGCTCCTATACTGATAATACAAGACATAAAATGAAATTCCAATATAATTATAGAAACTGGGGTCCTGACGCATACAACTTAAAATTGTATTATTACATATTACAATTACTAAGTAGAGATATGAGGGTCCATAATGGTGTCCATTAATACTTATTGGATTCCCTCTCTAAATCAAATGTATATCTATACATTGTTTATGTCTTGTATCATAATAGAACATTATGAATATCCTCTTTAATATGATCCCCCCCTTAGAGTAAAACCTATCTTTGAGTCACTACCGGAATTTCGCACATTACTGTATACATATGCCAACAACATTTACTCCTAATTTGAGAATCCTTCCTCACATTAAGGAACATTAGGGACTCCGTACAGTCTGCATATTGACTTTGTCAGTTCCTTGCTTAGATAAGAAGTCTCATACTTCTCTAGAAGATATTTAGTGGAAAGAATGAAAACTCTTTTTATGCATCATAAAACGTCAGTACGACACTGCATGAATCAACTGATTCATAAACATCCCTCATAAATAAATATAGATACTTCCATTAATAATTACATTAACGCGCTCAAACAAAATATATTAATAGAGGCCTACGATATCCTCCCTAATTCCTAATAATCACATTTAAGCCGGATGCCACTATTCTTCATACATAATGAGCAGTTTCCCTTATATAATGTTACGGATAATAGTTTATAGACAAAATAATTAACAAGTACTGGAGAGATTATACAAAATGGGGCTATGCCTGCTCATATACTATCATTATAGTGATGAGTCCATTTTAGTAAAGCAAACATACACCAGCAGAGTCTTTCAACGGGCTGATTGTCTCTTATATTCTTATCTAAACGGGAGAGGTGCCCATTTCTTCCCTTAGGGTGTGGTGCATTCTTCCTCTAAATTTCTTTCTAATTTTCATAGTAGCATTTCTCTATGCGCATACAGATAGCTATACCAAGTGAATATCGCAAATTGACAACCAATAAAAAACATTTAAAATATTCTTATCAGAGATTGGGAAGACATTCTCTTGCAAGTCAATAATAAACATGCTAAGAGCCATCTCGCGGCTAATTATCCGCTTTCTTGTTTGAAGTACTAGCAATAAATTACTGATAGCTTTCTGATTTGACACGTAAAAGATCAATCCAGTAATGTCTGCACAATGCGGGTATACAGTATAATATATAATAGTCATAAATATAATTTTATAGAGAAAGTATGTTTATTCAAACAACACCCGACTTTAATACAGAACGGTAATCTAACAATTCCCATATAAGCGATGGATTCACCGCGATAACCTTATAATCGGCATATATTGTAAGTATAAGTAGAAAATCCCTCCATTGTGTATGAGATATGGAGATGATGCGAAATAATGGGCGCAATTTAGATCTGGGTACATAAGGAGAGAGATAAATTAAAACTGCAATATTAACCTTCTCATACACCTGTCTGTAGGAAAAAAGTAACAGGATCTATACTATCTATCCGCTTCCTTTCGTCTGTATTTCAAGGTGGTGATATCAAAATGATAAACTCTGTTTTGCTGATAAAACATAGAATACAAACAGTCGAAGTATGGATATATCATAGTCCTAGCTAAAAAGCCATAATAAAAATGATATCTTTCCCTGAAACTGTTATTATCCTCAATTAAATACAGGGGTTAATTTAATAGACGTCGAATATACCTATCTTTTCTATAAGGATAGGGGGATTCCGGAACCCCAGCGGAATTCATAACCGGAAGGATATCTTCTCTAGAAGTGGAGGCAAGGGTTGTGCAACACTCTCTTATACACGCCTGTACTCCAAAGTCGTATGTAGCAATTCCTCGTAAAAGCGGGAGATCTAGTGATAAATAGGAGTCATTCAACATCTGTTGCCATATTTCAATAAAAACATTCAAGAAACCGTGAAACAACAAACGTGTTGTGTACCCATCCCATAGTGATCGTATCATTAGGAGGAGTTCAATAGTGAGATAGATGGAGAGGAAGATACACATTCTAATATCAAAAGGAACAACTGAGCAAGAAACCATCCAATAGTATGGATCACCATTAATATAGATGAATATGTGCTCTATAATTCAGCGCCTCATCACCCAATGTATCCCTCCCGGATTTTACAAATATATCCTATGGGCAAAGGGTAAGAATGAGACAAACAGGATAATAACACTCCGTCAAGAAGTCTGTTGTCCCTCTGTATATATCTCAATGAAGGAAACGAACAGAGTCAAAACATTGATTGTTCTGTATCATTATATTAAAACACTCAAAATATATTGAATATCCACAGAGTAATAGGAAATCTACAAGTTTATGTCTTATTCTATTTTCCCAAAAAAATAAGAAAACAAAATGGAAGACAAATCAAGAGGGACCCCTTAAAAACCACAGGGGAAACCACGATTACAACTAACAAAGAGAGATGATAGAGTAACACCAAAGGGGGGACAAACCACCCCAAAACCCAAACAACGCACTAATGCCTGGGAACAGTGGCAGAGGGTCGGTACAATAAAGTCAAAAGAAACGACATTAAATGGTGTTTCCTAAACAGTACAATTTTGGAAGTGATGAAAAAACCTCGAACGCAAAAGGTAAGTCATTAACCTTACCTCCTACACCCTAAGTCATACACCATAAAAAGAAACCATTGAAGACTAATTAATGAAACAGAGATCAAAAACATAAGACCTAAAGAGAAAACAATAAACAATGAAGCGGCAGATTAACAGGAGTAAAGAGCACACGTGATAACTGAAGCGGGGGCCTCCACCAGCCTGCCTTAGGGAATGATACAATCAAATAAATCAACAAACATTAAGGCATCAACCTAAAAACAAAAATATGGGCGATGCAGCCTACCCCTGGACTCAAAAAATACAGATGAAACGTGCAAAAGTAGCCGTACCACTCATGAAGAAGATCTGGTCCGAAGACGTATAGACTCAACACTGAACCGTACATCTGAATCGAAAGCCATGAAAAATGAGGTGTAAACCGTCGGACGACACCCCAAGATCCTGAGCATTCAAAACGAGGGAATGGTCCGAAAGAACAGAACTAAGCCAATACCCGTAAAGAATTAACCGCAAGGATAGACCATGAACCGTGCAACTACACCATGAGGAGCAAGCCTTAGCCAAAAACGATGGAAAAAACCCTAGAAAATAAAAGCCATGGAATGTACAAAATAGTCCCACTACTATTACCGTAGCTCATGCAACCCTAAAAATGATCTTCAAGCAAAACAAATCTAAATCGTAAACTCTGGGTGCATAAACTTACTTATTGACCAAACAACATAAGCAGTAGATAATAAAAAGGGAACCGTCACAATACAATTAACCCCCCCCCGCCTATCCAGAGGAGACGAGAGAACAATAACAACTCTACAAGGACACCCTAGGGCTAGGGCATAAAGGATTAAATAAAAGGCTTACACGATGAAGCGCACACCAAAAGAAATAATAAATTATGCCAAGGCTTTAGAAACCTACAGATGACAAATGCAACGCCTCCGGATAAGGTATGGGCTTAAAGAAGGAGCAATAGGAAACAGTAATGAAAGACTAGTCAGACAGAATCGGACATGAAAATTAAATGAAGCAAAGTACAGATAAAAAATACCCCGAAAGATATAGAGCCTCAGAGGAGGACGGACAAAACAAGAGCGGCAGGGTTCTAATTAAACGGGAATCATAACCGGAGTCAGAATAAAATAACCCAAAAAACAAAAGACTGGACAAGCCCCCAAGCCATGAGGATAACAAATGAAGAGATTCAAAAGGTAAACAGAGAAGTATAGCATAATGGACAAAGGTACAGGTTGAGCATAAGCAATTCAAAGAATAAGATACAAAACGGCAACTACAGGTTCAAGTATGAATCATGGAAAGAGAGCCAAACCAGGTCCAAAGGAAACCTAGGAGAGAAGAGAAGCAGGGATGCAGGCAATGCTACAACGACGCGAGGGCATAACAAATTCGCCCTACTCACTACAGCAGTAAGAGGTAAACCGAGAAGGATAAGCCATAAAAAGTACACAATGCAGCAGAAGAGACTAGAGCGTAGCGACACCTGAAGACAACTAAGAAAAGATCCGTGAAGGCTGAGCTATGAATTAGCAACAGGAGATGTAGGGAGTAACAACAAAGAACGGAGAAGATGAAACTAACACCTCAGTCCCAGGCGTTAAAGTATGGACAATTAAAGAAGACCATGAACAATAAAAGAAGCAAGGATCAGAAGTACAAGATACCCCCTAATTCCCAACCCTGAAACATGAGTCATAATCATACTCAGAAACCCTACACCGAAGCCGAAAACATAGCAGCTAAATCATATATCTGAACAACCCACTAAAAAATAAAACATGATCCCTCAGGCTAAGCCTAAGCCTTAGACCCCGAATCCTAGCCACTAAACGCAGAAGACTAAAACCACACCCTAACACAGCCAAACTAAGACGACATCCTAACCAAACACCGAACACATAGACCCAGAGCCCTAAACATAAGGACTCAACACTCACCCCTAATCGTCGAACCCAGCCTCAACCCCCTGAAATCCTGAATCTTGACCCTGGAAGCCCAAGACACAAGGAAGTAGCCATAAAACTAAACCCTGAACCCTAAAAATCAACCTGACTCCAACACCCTAAACTCATGAACCACTAACCCTGAACAAGGAACCCAAACGTTAAGGCCTGAAGACACACCCCAGAAGACTAAAGAGACGAAAATAACCCCTGACAACTGCCCAATACAACGTGAGATGGAGCCCCAACCCATGAACCCCTGCGACTAAATATAAACCCCAAACCTACAACGAACCACCTAAGAACAGCATAAATCCTGAAAACTAAACCCTGAAATCGTGAGAACTAAAACTACAACCTAACCCCTGAACTCAACTCCCTAAACCCTAAACGCTAAGGATGAATCCGGCCCCACTAAGCGTGAAAGTTCGAGCCTGAACCCTAAACCTTAACACTTGAACCCTGGAGCCTAGACCCTGAACCCTGGAACCCTAAACCCCTGAACCCTAGACTTAAACCTGAACCCTAAACCCTGAATCCAAGAATGAATAATGAACTATAAGGCTAACAATCTAGACCGTAGACGCTGAACCCCTATGTCTTACACCATAGACCCTGAATCCCTCAACCCCAACTCTAAGACATAACCGATAGATTCTAGAAGCTAACCCCCCAACCCTGAACCTAGGACCTAAGCCTCGAAGCTGAACGCTAAACCCTAAGTACTAAACCCTAGAGCATAAACCCGAAACCCTAAAACTAACCAAAAAACCCTAAGGCTAAACCCTAAACCGTAAAAGTAAAACCCTGAAGCCTAAACCCGTAAACCCCCAAGTCCCTACCCTAATTCCTAAACCCTCAAGGCTAAACCTGAAACTCTAACCCTCAATCGTCATTGTCCCCCCCCCCTCCGCCGGGTGTGTCCCCCTCCAGTTAAAAGGATTCGTGGGTCCCCCCCTGCTGTAATCTAAACGCTCTACGCACGAATTGAACTTAAACGTACACGATAGAATCCCAACCTGTGAGTTTCTTGGCTATTCCGTCTCTTTTCTGGCTCCCCTTGCTCCGGGGTTTGTCCCTGTCTCGTTCCTGTGGTGTTCCTTCCCTTACCCGGTTGCCGCGTGGTTGCTTTCTTTCCTCGGGTTGCTCGATATACTCCATAGATCACCCCTGCCGCTAAGAACACGCCTAATACGCCGCTTAATACCCTTCTGTCCTCCTCAGATCCGACATCGATCCCGATGGTCCTGCACCTTCGAATCTGCGGGAGATGAGATCTCAGCGGTCGTAATGAAGACCCTTCCCTTAACTGCTGTCTTTCTATTCTCATCGCTGTTCGTGGGTTCCGATCCTCTCCTCCCTGCTCCGGACTTACCAATCCGGCCTCCTCATCCCTGAGGTCCTCGGTCGCTAGTTTCTTCAGCTTCCCTAATAACTCCTTTGGGATGGTCCCGGTTGCCGCGGGGGCTTCTCTTCTTTCCCTAGATCGCCCTCCGACGCCCGCTTCCTCGTATTCTACTCCTTGGCTTCTTCTTCCTTTCCCCTCCTGTTTGACTCGGCATAGTACTCGATCCCTCTCCTGCCCTGTGTCATTGATACCCCTCGTAATTGCTTCATATAATGATCCCTCCGGGACCCTTAGGCCCCTCGTTTTTCTTTTTTCTTCTCCTTCGACCCGAAACCATGTCGTCATTATCTTCTTTGTGACTTTTTCTCCTCCCCACTCCTTAAATTCTTCTGATATTTTCTTACAGATATCGATTGTTCCCTGTTGCTTCGCTTTTTCGGCCTCTGTCCATGCGATGCTGGCTAACGTCATCAATATTATTCTTATTATATCCAAACAGATCATAAACGACGCATTCTTTCTTGTTCTGGTGGAATAGATTCCTCCCGTTCCAAACCTCGTCCACTGCAATAGAGACACATCGCCATCATATTCACTGGTTGAAGGACTCTTGGTAAATGCTTTTTTGTATTGTGTATATGAATATCCACTCAGATTGATATCTCGGTTCCCTCTTCTGGTTCTGTGGAGACTATTAATCCAGACTTCCAGATCTCTACAAATTAGTGCACTCAACAGATAGAGAGTTCTTTTGTTCTGGATTTGGTCCCACTTTCCGCTGTTATCATAGATCCATTTATCCACTGGTTCTGGGGGGGTTTTCCTTGTTTTTAACCTACATATCCCGTTTGGGTTTCGCGTGCTATCTTGACAATACGCTGCTGTTTCGTTCTGATTTAGTAGCTTCTCTAACCTCTCTGGAAAGTTATATCCTACCCTGGTGGAGTTCATCTCTCTTTCTCTGGAGGGAGTGGAGTCGTAATGTTATTTTTTTTTTTTCTTTTTCTCTGCTGCTGTGCCTTTTCTCTCTTCTCTTCTGGGCCCTGGTCGTCTGTTTGGGGCAGTGGATATAATGTTCCCTTCTTTACTCTTTGATTTGTTGCGATATTTTGTCGTATTTGTGTCCTTCCCTGTTCTTCTCCTTGGCTCTTGTTTGTTATTCTCTCTTCCGCCTGCCTGGCCCGAGTTCTGGGATCGGACTCTTTCTGCTCTGGGTTAGCCTTCTCCTTCGCATGGGAAGCTCAATTCCTGAGCTCCGGCTCCATTACTCCCTTTGGGCTCTCCTTGTTTTCCTTCGGTGTGTGATTCGGACTCCTGACTTTCGTCGCCTTCTGGTCTCTTCCTGTTCGTGTTGGCTGAAGGCCTTTTCATTCTTTCGTCTCTCTTCCGGACTGGGACGTTCCCTTTTTTTTTGGTTCTCTTCTTCGTGGTTGCTCGTTTCCCTTCTTACCCGCTGGGTCCTTTGATCGTGAGTTTGCTCGTCCTAGTTTCGGGTTTGCTCCTTTCCTGTCCGTTGGTGGGCTTCTCCTGTTGGACTGCTTCTTCCTTGCCTACCCTCCCGTGTCCTGCTTTGGCTGTTCATCTTCTCGACCGTCTCACTGTTATGCCTTGTCCGTGGGTTTCGTTCCTTTGGTTCCTATTGCTCTTCTTCGACTGGAAACTTTTTTTGGGATAGTTTCGTTGCCTCTTCTGTTTCGGCGGAGGCTACGGACCTTCTTCGTTGGGTTTATCATTGAGTTCCTTCTCTGCTGGTTTGCGTCGGATCGCTCTGGGAGGTGGGTGTTTTTTGCCTATTGTGAACCTCCCTTGGAGGTTGTCTTGCCTTTTTGACTCTTCCTTTTGGTTTCTTTTCCTGGCCCCGGGAATTTTTTCTCTTGTTGCTGTTTCTTGGTCATGGATATCCCTTCTTCTGGAGTGAAATTTCGTCTGTTCCTGTATTGTTTCTTCCTCTTCGTCGGGGATTAAGACGTTTCTTTTTTGTTTTGTTCGTTCCTTTCTTTTCTCTTCCTTCTTTATCGGCTCTGCGGATTGATTGGCTTGTTCTTTGATTATTCTCTGTTGCTCTGATTGTTGTTTTTACTTCTTGGTTGGAGTTGGTTTTTTATTTTAGCTGGTGTAATTTGTGTTTGTTATCTATACCGAACCTCCCCGATTCTGTTACCTCTTGTTATTATTCCCTTGTGGGGATCTCTTTCGTTGTCTGACGTGTCCTTTCTGTTTCTTGGATGTTCCCTTTTCTTTCTGATTGCTGGTGTTTGGCTGTTTCAGGATCCTTATGATTTCGGCCACTTTCTTCGCCGATCTCTCATTCTCTACTAATCGAGACGGTTGCTTTCGTGTTTTTTGTTCGGTGAGCTTCTTTTTTTGTGCGTTTCTGATTACTACGGCCTCTGTTGATCTAAGGGAGCTGAGCTGTTCCTTTTTTTCTCTTGTGATAATTCACCTGGGGAATCAGATTTGTTTTTGCTTTTTCGTTTTCGTTCCTTTCTCCTGGTTCTGATTCGGGTATTGGTTCTCTTTAGTTTCTTGCGTTTTTTCGGACCGTCCGTTAGGCCTTTTTTTCATGTTGTTCTGGTGGCTTCGTCTCTTTCTGTTCAGTCGAGACGGGCTGGGGGGGATCCTGTGTGGCTGTTTTTGGTTCTCTCTTCATCCTTGCCTTTGGTTGGTTATCCTTTTTTCCTTGGCTGGATCTCCTTTCTGTGCCCTGGTTCGTCTTTACTTGGTTTCACGCTCGGACTTTGTCTTCTGCAGTGGTGTCTCGCTCCGGGAGTTTTTCTTTCCCTTGGGACGTCCCTCTCTGCTTCTTGATCTTGTTGGTACTGATTCTTGGGAGACGGCCTCTGTGTCTTGGCTTTTCTTTCGCCTACCCTGGACTTGTATTTGATTTGGATTTGCGGTTATAGACTCTTCAAACGGTCGTTTTTTTTTTTTTTTTTTACGTCTCCTTTGCCGCTCCCATTCTGTTAATCGGGGGGGGGGGAATTCTTGGATCACTGTTTCTCTTGAATTTTTCGGCCTGGGGGGGTCTTTCTTCCGTCCTGGTTGTTTTCTTAGGGCTGTTTGTTCGGTTGTGGGGGTTTCCTTAGGTTGCTTGGTTCTCTTTTTTCAGGTTGTCCTTGGGTCGGAGAGTTACTGTGTCTGTTGTGTTATAGATATTTCCCCCATAGTTTTTATTGATATGTATCTATACTTTCGCGGATTGGATAAGGTGGGACTTCGGCTTGGAGTTGTTGCAGTTTTTGTTTTGGATTGTGCGTGTTGTTTCTTTGATCTTATTTATTCAGAGCGTGCATTATATTATCTGCTGTTTTATTCTGCTTCTATTCTTGAGATGATCAGTTTCATTCCTGTTCTTTGTCACTGGTTCAGGCTTTCGTCTCATTCTTTTTGAGGTTCCGACGTATCTCCTTTGTCTGCCTCATTGAGATTTGGTCGACTCGTTATGACAGAAATGTGTTGCTGGAGATGTTCTAGGTGATGATTTGTCTTTTGCATCTGGGGATCTTTTTTTTTGGGTATTTGGGGTTTTCCCTTTTTTTTTTTTTGTTTAGTTTGTCAGTTTCGGTTAAGTTCTGGATTTTTATGCGACTTTGAGGACTTTACTGGAGTAATTTCGGCTGTTGTTGAGTTCTTTCATTTGAGAGAGTTCAGTTTGAGGGAGGGGCTTGGTGATTTTGTCCATGGAGCCTTCCTTCTTGTTATATAACTGCTTAGGACGGTTTTTTAGTATCTTTTCGGTTGCAGTGAGTTGTTTTGAGGTGTTCCACATTCTGTTCGGCTCTTGTTTTGTTTCTGTTGTGTTATTCGTGGTTATACCGGATTTTCCTGTTGGTTGGGGGTGTGTAATTTCTAGCCTTTTTTTTTTTTCTTAATTTTTGGGTGTCCTCTTTTTTTAGTTTCAGACTGGTGACTTTCTTATTTTTTCCTTTCTTGATTATTGGTGGACGTCCTGGTTATCCTCCTATTTTGGGCGAGTAGGCGTAGGATTGCTGTTTCTCTGTTTTGTTTGTGTCTTCTAGTTGATTTTCTTCTTTATTTTTTGTTGATAATTGGAGATGATTATGTGGACTGACCGATTGGGAGAAGGATATTGGCGTTTGTCTTCTGTGTTTTAGTCTTGTTCTTGTTGGATATGACGTGGTTAGCTCTTGAGTTATTTTTTCGATTTATCTTGTCTCTTGGTTATACCTCTCCTCTTTTGTCGATACAAGGTGTTGATTACTTTAGATTTTTTAGATGAGATGGTAGTGGAGTCTTGCGGTTTCCTGTTGCAGACATGAGTGGGGAATGCTTGGTCATTATTTAGGATCAAGATTTTAGCCTTTTTGATTATTGCTTTTCTTTTAGAAGTTTTCTGCTCCTTGTTTCTTCTAGTTTTTGAATCTCCCTAACCCTCCTCGGTTTCTGGGAGGGTAGAATCTGTTGTATCTAGTGTCGTTTATTATTCTACCTTATCTTGAAGGTTGTTTAGGGTTTCTTGGGTGCTGGGCTTAGAATATCTTATGGTTTCTTTCATAACAGATGTTATTAGTTTTATTTGGGGCTCTGTTCTGTTCTCAGAGAGTTGACTGGCTTTAAATTTGGAAATTCCAATACATTTAGTTTAAATTCTTCCTTTGTCCATATGGGATCTTTTGAGATTGTTACCTCTCTTTCGATGGATAACCCTCGTCCAGTAGTGATCTCGGTTTCTACTGATATTTACTACCCTTAAGTTGTATAAGGTCAGGGTGTTCTATATGCTATTTCTTTGAAGTTTGGTTATTAGGGGGAGGCGAAGATTGGGTACTCTTTTTATGTGTTTTATCTGCACTTGTAGTTTTATCCTGGAAGGACCTGGTGATTTCTCTTTATTTGAAATTGTTTACTATTCGTGCTTTTTATTGAAATCATTCTGTCACTGTCTAAAGTTTCCCCTATTTCTCCCTGCGTCACGGGATTTAGGGCTGTTTCACTAGCGGATTCTTCTGGTTCTGGACTCATATATGTTCAGTCATGTACTCTTTGGATGACTGGGACGTTGGTTTGTAGAGTACAGTGTTGGTCTGTTGGGGTGGCGGGTTTAATTTCTTGTTTCTCCTGGATGTTCAGGATCTGTCAGAGTTGTATCTTGTGAAATTTTTCTTGGTATATTCGCTGGTTGTCCCTTATCCATGGCCGATTATCCCAACTAGGTTGTTTCTCCCTTGTTGATGTAGATTCTCCTGCTGTTTCATACTCATCATTCATGTTGGATAATATGAGCTGTGGTTTAGTTGGGAATTCTTTTGCTGTTTCCTCTGTTGATTGGGTCGCCTCTCCTTCGTTAGGGGATTCAACTCACGCCTAAGTTTGTCTTTGGGGAATTTCGCGATCTGCCCGGTGATTTTCTATTGGATGATTTTGGTTTTGCCGTCGGTACCTTTACTGCCTTATTGATTCTCACACTTATTTTCTTTTGTTTTTTAGGTTTCTCTTCTTAGTTGTATTTGGAGTTCTGTTTTTGTTTCTAGTGGGTTTTTTTCTTCCGTTGGGGCCACATAACTAATACTTTTTTTGGCGTTTTCTGTGGTTGTTATAAGAGACTGATTTATTTATTTAAGCGCCTCCCATACTTTATTGAATTTTTAGTCTTAGGATCCGGGTTCCAGAGGTCTGCCTCTCAGCATGATGTCAGTCTACTTTTTCCTAAGGAGACTTGAATTGTCCGGTCGCTACTTCTCAGAGTGGGTGGGCATACATCCTTCCCTGGTGTTCTGGATAGGGGGTTTCAATTTGGAGTTTTTTTGGATTTAGCACTGTTATTTCAGTCTCCGCTTTCTAGATCTTCTCATCTATATCCCGGGGGTCAAGGAATATTCACTTGTCTGATACCTAATTTAACCTGACTACTGATTAGCTCCTGTTTGAGAGTTTCTGTTCTCCATGTCTTTGCCTTTGGTTGTCCTCTTTCCTGCCTTGGGTTTTTCCTTAAGGTCATTTTATTCTTTTTCAGCCGTATCTGTATCCGTGTTTGTTCCTTCCTCTGTGTTGCTCCGGGGTATCCGTCAGGTGTGGCTTCTTGACATTCCGTGAGTCAGGCTTCCTTTTCCTGCTTCGGGGAATCTATTTATATTATTTCCTAAAATTTGTTAAGTTGTTCCCAGGAGACTCCTTTGATCCTCCATTCCTAGTCTATTCCGCAGTGTTCCTCTTTTTTTCTTCTAGGCCTAGGGGGTCAGGGGCTTGACTCTTTGTTCTTTGACTTGATCCTGTTGTATTTTTCCTAAGACATATGCGTTCTATATAACTTAGCCCAAGATCCTCAGTGTTTTACTCTTCCACTTTGAGGGTTCATTTTGGTTTCTGTGTGTTTGCAGCGTTTCCTGCTACACTGGTTCCCATCCTTTGGGAGTAGAGATTCTGATTCTTTCTTTAATTCCTTCCTGGCGGAAGACTGCTTCGGATTTGTATTTGCTTCTGTTGTTCAAGGTGATCTTTCAATTTTTATTTCGTTTCTTTTCCTTCTGTTATCGATCTGTTGTCCTCTCCCTATTCTTATCCTGCCTTTTCCTGTCCTTGACAGTTCCTATCCTTCCTTTACTTTCCCTTTTTGCCAACCTTCGGAGAATTTCATGTATGATCTTCCTGTAAACTCCTCCTTATTTTCTTATTCTTGGGGCCACTAGATCCGGGGTTTCCCAGCCTTAGGAGTTTACTTACCCCTAAACGTTCCGTTTTCCTGTTTTGGGGCGCTGCTGGTCAATCTAACCCCTACGCCTCCAATAATCCTTTCTCCGTTAATTATTCCGTTGAGATTAACCTCTTCTGTTTTCTCTAATTAATCCATGCCCTCCTGCTCTGGGGCTTCCGCCTTTAGGTGTTCTTTTGTTCCGTAATTCTTTCTTTGCTGTATGTGTTTTGCCACTTCGGGGTCCTCTATGTAACCTCTGTAGCATCTGGGGGAGTCAGCTGGTCACTCTTAATGTCTTTTGTTTCCTTTGTCTTTCGTTTTATATACTTCTTGCCGCTCTTGTCATCAGTTGTCTCCTAGTGTCTCGTTCGCATGCTCCGGTTTTACTTCTTTAAACTTCTTAACCTTTTTTATATTATATGCTGGTTCGTTAGAGGTTCTCAGTTGCAAATAAAGGTCCTGCTTTATCCTTTCTGTTTCTTTTGGTTTTCTCCCCCTTCGTTGTAGGGTTCTGTCTATGTTGTACGCCTCCTGTTTCTACTTTTATCTCATCTCTTTAATTATTTCTTCTCTTATTCTAACTCCTATTGCCGCAGGTAGTCCTACTCTGTTCCTTCTTCATTTTAATCTACCATTCCTGAGACTTCTCTGCCCTTGTTTCTAGGAAGTTCTCCTCTCTTCGCCTCTTTTTGGCAGCTTCTGAGTGTTGTTCCCTTTTCTCTTTCCTGACATTTTGTTCCTGATTCCTCTTCCCTAATAATATGGTTACTCCTCACTGCTTCCCTTATTTCTCGACTCCTGCCTGTTTGGCTTCTTGTTGCTTTGTCATTTGTATCTAACCCCCCTTCCGTTGTATGGGGGGGTTAACTGTGTTTCTTGTCCTTTTATTGGAGCTTACTTTTTCTTGTTTCCCCTCTTTATATCATGTGTCTGATGCCTTGGCTTTTTGGTTCAGGAGTTACTCCCCCCTCATCATTCACTATTATGTTTCTATTTACATATTTCTTCACATCATTTCATAAGGGCAACTGGTTGCTCTTTTCCCGTCTTTCTTATCAAGGTCTCCCCCCTTCGCTGCTGGGACTCTCTCTTATTAACGTTATAGTCTAGAATTATTCTACATATGTCTTAGGGAATTCTGTTTCACTGGGGCATCGATATATACCTATTTTTATTGATCCTACACCTGTTGGGTTTCCTCCTTCATTTGTCCCTTTTATATATACTAGTATTATCCTTACGGCATCTGTACCCGCCTCTTCCCTGTGGTTTGCCTTGGGGACAAGTTTCTAATAATATAGAATTCTAGCTAAGGGACTTTTTTCCCCTGGGTTTGGACGCTTGTATGCATCGATAGCTTCATTTTGTTCCACGCCTGAACTCTTAGGATTAATTCTCTCCTGTTCACTTGACCTCTCGTCCTTCCCCGTCAACGTATTGCTCTTTGCTCATTACTTTCCTCATATTTCATAAGATTTGACTTTATATCCGTCAGAGGGTTCTTTCTTGTAGAGCCATACTTTTCGTAAAATTCTGATATTTTCCTCCTGCTGCTGTTTCTACTCTTCTCGATTGCGGCTCCCTCGTGTCGTCAGTTCTTCCTTTCCTTTATTCTCTAGTAAGTACTGTATACTGATTATCTTAAATATGCTCGTTTGATGTTTATTCTCATACGTGTCCTTCTCTCATATGGCTTATTAAATCTGTCTCACCGCCTACAGCTTCCCTCTCGTGCTTGTGTTTGTACCGCCTCCTATTTGTCTGTCCCTGTGCTGTTACTCCTTTTTCTCGTTTAGACTACATTGTTTCATCTACGGG